GTGGAGTGGTCACTAGGCCCGCGCACGCCGCGCTCTTGGTCCAAGCCCAGCTGCAGCCAGCCTCACGTTCCCATGCCCCTCTGGGGATGGTAGGCCCCCGTGCCAAGCCTTGAAGTAGTTCATCACTGGTGCCTTCCATAAGCCTGATCCTTGCTGCAATTTCTAGCCTTTCGTGTGTTGTGCTACCTTTGATCTGCCTGGTTACCTTCATTGCCAGTTGGGGGGGGTTGCCTTTATAGAAGCAGCACATCCTGGGCTGAGAGACATGCTCCTTGGCAGAAGGATGCAGATTTGCAAAAAGTCGGATGCTTGCTTAGATTGAGATGGAGTCCTAACAATGGGGTACTTGCAGACTTAGTTTGTGCTCAAGCAGAAGAGCTTAATCTGTACTCTTTGTGGTTCAGACTTTGTATTTCATCCTTTCTAGCAGACTTGTAGGAATTGAGTGATGCAGTTTCTCAGGGTCTAAAAGTGAAGGTGAAAATTCTCTGTAGCTCACAATATTGGTTATTTTCACACCTCGAATACACTGTCATGGGAATCTGAGCCATAATGTAGGGAGATAGACCATCTCATAGAGCTGGAAGGGACCTTGATAGGTCATTGAGTCCACATTCCTGCCCTCACAGCAGGACCAAGTATCATCATCCCTGACCAATTTGAGCAGGACCAAGTATCATCCCTGACAGATTTACCCTAGATGGCGCCCTCAAGGATTGAGTTCACAGCCCTAGGTTTAGTAGGCCAATGCTCAAACCACAGAGCTCTCTCTCCACTCCCCATTATGTTATAGTGATTTTTAAAGTAATTTTCTCTTGTTGGTGCATGCTTTCAAACAGTGCAAAAAACTAACTGTTATTTGGCTGAGTTAATTTTTGGTACAATTGAATCAGCAGAGCCTTACCACAAGCTCAAACAGTTGAGGATGGATTGAAGATTACTCATTATAATGTACATCTGCAAGTGGAATTACTATAAAAGGCGGTCTATAAAAATTAAATAGTAACATAGTTGAATTTGCTTTGTATTCCTTTTTTCCTTAGTTCTCAGCTGTCCTGGACCATTCAGTTTCGGGGAAATCACTGGCAGACGTCTATGCTGGCATTTCAGGCATCCCTCCCCATGAGGTAAAATACAGCTTATGTATTTCATATGTAACCCCCTTTTTCCTTTCTGGGTTACTGGGAGCAGACCACACTCACCTGGGTGCTTGGTTTTAACTCTAAGGGGGTTCCTGAGTACCACAGTGGTGACATTCTACACCCCCCTTGCTGCAGTCCCTTACTCCTAAAGGAATATACAATGGTGGTACATCCACCAAGCTGGCCCTGTACACACTTAATGGTGTGCGTTGGGAGCCTCCAGGAATAAACATATTCCAATAATAATTTGGATCTAACTCCAAAACAACAATTATAAATAATATACATCTGATTGATTAAATTAGAATTTAATTTAACTTTTACTTAACAACTTAAAGAAACAGGGTTTAACAGATTAAAAGTGAATAAAATCAATTAGCAAAGTATGCAGACATAAAGAAAACGTAAGTAACTGGCATTTATATTGCCAGCATTTATCCCACTTCAAAGTGTGCACTCTTTTGGATTCACTTGCTTGTGTGGCTGCGCTTGAAGGTCTGCAGTTGTGCAGGTTGTGTGTGTTAGTCCACGCAGGCAGGCAGCCAGCCACAAAATCCCTCTGCCACTGAAGCAAGCCCCACCAAATGCCATCAGCTGTGGTTTACTGGGCAGATCCCTCTGGCTCTCTTTGGACCCAGAGTCAATTTGTCTTCTGTGCTCTGTCCCAGGCAGCATTTTCCCAAAGAGTCATAGTTACACACAGTTACAGTCTATGCGGGGTTACGCAGGCCCTTCTCTGACCCTGGCTATGCCTGTGGCTGTCCCCTCCAGGGACAACCACCAACAGCCCTTGAAGCAGACTGCTAGATCCAAACCCCAGCAGGCTCTCAGTAACAGACTCTAGCTGTACGGAAAAATGTCACAAGATACCTCTGCCCTTTGGGAACTCTGTTATGATTACCTCCTCCTTCAAAAGGTGAATGTTTATGCTGTGAGACAGAATACATGATCTCACTCAACTTGGCTAGTGCTAACAGATCCATGGGAGCCACAAGGAGTAGCTTCAAGTCATTTATACCCTTCACATTTGCGTTTCTGGATTTTCCTGCTACCACATTTCAGAACAAGAGACCAAGGAAACTCAGCAACCCGGAGGAAACTTTCACTCATCTCCCAGGTTGGTAGAACTTGATCCCATTTGGCTCTTCAGAAGAGGTCAATTCTAAGAGATGGGGTAAAAAACCATCCCCTAATAGAAGAGTTTCCTAAATGCCAGAAGGGACAAGGAGTGAAAGTAACAGCGTGGGAGGGAGGGAATGCGCAGAATAACTAGCCAAAGCTCCCTAAACAAATCACAAGGCATTATTGAAGAGTGTCAGAAGCTGAAAGTGTGCGAGAGGGTCAATGGGTCTGCTGTGTTTTCTGGGGTAACAACCGGTAAAGACTATAGTAGAGAAGCTAAATCATTTCCTTGCTCTGGTCTGCACCACAGAGGTTCTTGGTGAGCTATTACCAAGCCCACATTTGTATTAATTAGGTAACAAAGGGGAGGCACGGTCAGAGCTTGGGGTGATAAAGGAGGAGGTGCTGACAGAAAGTGATGGAACATGTTCAAGAGTTCTGAAGGAAATGTAGAGATGAGCATCTGAGCAGCCAACACAGTGACCTGTCACCAAAACCAGCGACATAACAGCTGCGAAGGAGACACGGTTTGTTTCTGCAAGGTGCAATTTCTTGCTTGAATAGCTAAAAAGAGAAATATAGCGGCACTGGCAGCAGGCAGGACTCACCACTGAAGTACCTAGGGTCTTGCAAAAGATCAAACCTGGGCTGGCTAGTCCCTTCTGCTGCTCCTGCTGCTGCTGCAGCTACCCTTCATTTTCAGCATGCTAGCTCAGATACATCTACTTGGCTGGAAATGACGCTGCCCTGTGTCTGCGTAGACAAGTCCAGAGATGCAAAAAGACTTGTAGACACCACAGAAGTTCATGAAGCTTCTCTGTAGGGTCTGGTCCCAGACAGCGAGAGAGCACAGGGCTAGATGGGCCATTCGGCGCTCTAAAAATAGACTGTGGCATATTATTATTACAATGGGAATCGGAGATTTTGTCTGGGCATAGAAAGACGATGACGTTCACATAGAGACTGAACTGAGTGCCAACACTTCCTGATGTGTGTGCAGCAGGAAGAGTTTCAGGGGATTAAAAAGGGGATTTGCCCATCTGCAACCTGGCCAGATGCCTTCAGCCCCACTCTGCTCATTTAAATTTTATTCCAGAGATTCCCACCACCTGTAGACATGGCAGAGGGAAATCGTCCCACCGTGACTGACTTCATCCTCTTGGGTTTCACACAAGAGCCACAGACACAAGACATCCTCTTTGTGGTGTTTCTGTTGATTTATCTGACCAATGTGGTGGGGAACCTAGGCATGATCTTCATGATTACTGTGGACTCACAACTTCATACTCCCATGTACTTTTTCCTCTGCAACCTGTCGTTCTGTGACTTCGGCTATTCTTCTGCCATTGCCCCTAAGATGCTGGTGGGCTTCTTACACGGCAGGCAAGCCATCTCTTTTGCCGGCTGCACCATGCAGTTCCTTTTCTTCGGTGTCTTTATGAACACTGGGTTCTACACGCTGGCTGCCATGGCTTATGACCGTTATGTAGCAATCTGTAACCCATTGCTTTATTCCACCACCATGTGTAGGAGAGTTTGTGTCCAGCTGGTTGTGGCATCCTATTTGGCCAGTGCTGTCAATATCTTGATAAACACAGGTGCTACGTTCAGCATCAACTTCTGCAGTTCCAATGTCATCAACCATTTCTTCTGCGATGTCCCCCCTCTCTTAGCGATCTCCTGCTCCGACACCCACGTGAATGAGCTCCTACTCTACTTCTTTGCAGGCCTTGCAGAAATGAGCTCTCTCTCCATCATCCTGGTCTCGTATGTCTTTATCCTTGTCGCCATCCTGAGGATGCGCTCGGCTGAGGGCAGGCACAAGGCCTTCCTCACGTGCGCCTCCCACTTCACAGGCGTTTCTTTGCTTTTCGGGACCATCATCTTCATGTACCTGAGGCCGACTTCGGTCTACTCCCTGGACCAGGACAAATGGGCCTCTGTGTTTTACACGGTGGTGATCCCCATGCTGAACCCTCTGATCTACAGCCTGAGGAAGAAGGACGTGAAAGAAGCTTTTCGAAAAATAATGTACAGGAAAATGTTTTTTATGTGAGCATTGCTATGAGATGTCAACAGTGCCACAGATTCAGCACTGAATGGGTCTCATGTTTTTGTGTATCTCTCAGATGTGGTATTTTAGTCAGGGAAGACATTTGAAGATTGATCTATCTATCTATCTATCTATCTATCTATCTATCTATCTATCAATCTATCTATCTATCTATCTATCTATCTATCTATCTATCTATCTATCTATCTATCTATCTATCTATCTATAACTATGGTATCTGAAAACCTTCCACAAAATCGACAGTCATAAGGAAATCTTTAGTGGACCTCTTGGTGTGTCTCATTCTTATTTTTGAAAATTAAAAGAAAAGCAGTATCTGTGCAGTAGCCATTTGCTTTTTTTGCTTCTGTCTCCTTGTTTTTATTGTTGCGGTTTTTTAACGACTTAGTGGGCAGGTGGGTTTTTTGTTTTGATCCAGGTCTTTTTAATGTGGGAATGTCTGGGGAGATGGTCAGTGTCCATCTCTACAGGATAGTTGGTATTTTGACTTTTATGGGGATGCCGATATCCCATCTCTTTGATTGGGTTTTCACAGGAAACTGAAAGTTTTCTTTCCACAATCATAAAAGATTGCAGAAGAGACATGTGACTCATTTCCTGTTCATGATTGTCTATGCCCATTGTTTCATTTCCTTATTATTACCATAATTATCATAATTTTCTATGCCCATCTCTTCAATTCCTCTTAATTATCATAATTATTATGACCAACCAATTTCTGTGACTCTCTTATTGATATATCCAAACTACTCATCCCAAAAACATGATGTTGGATTTGTTTTGACTGGCTGCATTTTTCAATTCTTTGCCGCACCTCCTGGGGTGGATAAAGAGAAGATTCACACCCAGGTTCCATACAAAGTGTGATGTTCATGCTCTGTTGGTTTACGTTCTCATAGCTCAGCTATATGCAACCATGGCTAGTGCATGGGCCACACGAGAGGGTGTGCTCTTGTGGGTGTGCTCCTGCTTAATGTATACATCACACGAGTCACACTGGTAGGGCAAACTTACCCAGATGGAAAGCAGTGGAATCTGGCAACACTGCACATGAGCAATAGTCACAGAATGGTTTATGGGCTACACACAGAATCCAGTGGGCTGCCTGCATTCCTTACGGGCAGGTTGCCCACCCCTGTCAGAGCTCTATTGAGAATGAGAAGTCACACCCTGTCATAAATAGGAACTGCTAAGGAGAATCTGACTTGGCTGGAGAGTGAGGAAAGGGTTAAGCAACTTAGAGAAGCACCTCATGGAAGGGGTTTTGGACATTCAGCCAATGAAATGCAGATAGGAATTTCAAACTAAGAGAGAAGGAATTTTCTTTCTCTCTTCTTTGTTTGAGATCAGAGTAGTTTTTTCCAGGTATGGTGGGAGACAGGCTCTCCCACGAATGGACTTCTTGAAATGTGTAAGTAGGGAAAAGTTTAGACAGTCCATCAGCTTTTATTGTTTTCCTGGTTTAGGAGTTTGGAAATCATGTCTGAGCTGGTTAATTGTTTTTCTTTTTTGTAACTAAGGATTACAGCCCAGGGATTTTCCTTGAGTCTGTGTCACTTTATCGCTATTTAACACCTAGTCATGTACTATGCTTGCAACAGTTGTTTTTGTTTGATAAGAAAAGTGTTTTCTTTTTTGTTTTGATTAACCAGTATTGATTTATTGTTGTGTCCTTAAATTTAGGTGTCTAGTTACCTGGGCAGAGCCCATTGTTCTCTGTGCATTCATTCTGTTTGCTTTCCCAAATCCACGAAAAAGGATGTTGGGGCAGAGGGGAGAACTTTGCCTTAGGGAGAGGATTCCCAAGTGATCTCTTCCCTGGAAAAGGGCTTATTTTATATTTTCTTTTATTCACTTGGGTGGCGTCTTGTAGTCTAGATGTAGCGTAGGTCTCTCCCTTTTTACTCCTTATCTGAGAATGTTGCCTCCTTCTGTATCATTTTGTCTTCTCAGCATACATACACAGTTTTTATTTCACACACTCCTTCTTCTCAAAGTTGTAAACAAGTCCATAATCCTCCGGGGAACTGGCTCAAGCCGTAGTGTGGCCTCTCTTCAGCTCACTTGCTGTTAATTCACTCATGCCAACCATTCACACTACCCATGATTTGTGACAGTGGCAGCAAGAGTTTGTGTCTGGGAGTGTCAGAGAGGGTATGTCTACACTACCCCCCTAGTTCGAACTATGGGGGGTAATGTAGTCATACGGAGTTGCAAATGAAGCCCGGGATTTGAATTTCCCGGGCATCATTTGCATAAAGCTGGCGCCATTTTTAAATGCCGGCTAGGTCGGACCCTGTGCCGCGCAGCTACACGTGGCATGGACTAGCTAGTTCGGAATAGCTGTTCCACGAGGCGTACAGCTAGATCGGATTAGGAAGCCTAATCTGAACTAGCTAGTCCGTGCGGCGTGTAGCCGCGCGGCATGGGGTCCGACCTAGCCTGCATTTAAAAATGGCGCCGGCTGGCTTTATGCAAATGAAGCCCGGGAAATTCAAATCCTGGGCTTCATTTGCAACTCCGTATGACTTCATTACCCCCCCTCAGTTCGAACTAGGTGGGTAGTGTAGACATACCCTTTCTTAACAAAGACTCCATTTTTGCTATTTGAAAAGTAAATCAATGTAACAGAAAACAGCAATGCTTTCTGGTAACTTTTTAAAAATCAAACTTTAAACTTTATTGAAAAAAATGGATAGTTTGCAATTGAAAATATTTGACCTACACTTAAGGCAACTGATTTAATTTTGTGTAAAATTTTGCATA